ATACTGGGATTAGCCCCTGATTTACCAAATGCCACGGAGGGTCCCATTGGCCAAATTGTCTCTGACCATAAAGAGACTTTGTTAGGTTTTGTCTCCCTTTCCCTCATTTCAAAGGTTTATTTGCAAAACACTGAATTTCTGCATTTCTTTTTGTTGCTGAATTCTGTGCTCACTCTCTCTTTCTTCCCCCCAAAGTTCTCTGTCACAGCTTGAGTTACAGATCTGAATATTTGATAAATGACACCTTTCTTGGACTGTTTAATCTCAAGTACCAAGGTACTCTTTTATGAAAATATCTTTCAACAAGCCTCCAGCCTTCAGTTTATTGCAAATACTTAACTCCAGTCTTGTAACAGAAGTGACTACAACTGAACAGATGATGAAAAATTTAAACATTAGACTTTAAGAAACTATTACCTCTGTCCTGCTCTTACACACACTGAAACCCCTTTCAGCTACTCTTTTGGGAGCACCACAGTAAATGTCTCTCATTCAGATGTATCTGGTTTCTTAGACAATGAACTTACTTGTGTGTGTTTCTGCCTGTGCCCTAACAATTTTGCAGTAAGGTTTGATTACTCGGCATAGGTTAAATGATGCTTCCAATGTCAGTCCCGATTTGTTTTTTCCAATTCATTCACTTTGATCAGGGAGTGTATTTTAATTAAAGCATGCAAATGTAACATATAAGGAGATTAAATGCTAAGAAAAGTGCTTTTTCATCCTAACTCAAGCGACAATCAGCAGGTGCACAAAAAGGTCCGCTGTGAAACAGCCCTGCTAGACAAGACAATCTGTGGGATGAAGTAGTTAATTTCTTGAGTGAAACAGATCGGTTTGCAGTTCACAGCAACTTCCAGACAGTCCCAATCACGCTGTGGGGATCTCCTGCAGATCCCATCCAGCAATTCCCTAGAGCCTGTTCCTTGCATATGTTGTGATGAGGTCTCTGACAAGTCACCCTTGCAGGGCGCCCCGCTTATGAGAAGCTCCCAGACCTCCTTCTCCTCTCACTCCCAGAACAGCCACCCTTCCACGTACAGAAATCCTAGACATTTTATCACTCACTCCAAGCAGCCGCTGCCTTATCTGAAGCTCGATAACCAGAAGGCTGACTTTACAATCACAACTCTCGCTGATAAGCCCTTGCACTGCCGGTGCCCACCTTCCCCTTCACACCCAGGCTCTGAGAAGAAGCACCACATGCAGTGGGGGAACCCGCAAATGGTGCGGGCTGGAAAGGGAGAGCGAGCAGGAGAAGAGGAGGAGAGCCAGGACCCCGGAGCGCTTTACCTGCCTCTGCCGTGTGCGCCTCCTGTCCTGCACTGCAGGAGCTGGGCGGCTCCGGGCAGGGACCCTGGGCCAGGCCCAGCACCGCCCTGCAGCCTCAGGCGCCAGCCCGGCAGCAGCCGGCCCTCAGCGCGGGCGGGAAGGGCTCCTCCGCCGGGGGCTCGGCGCTCCCAGAGCGGACAGGAGGGGACACTTCTGTCCCGAGATGAAGAGAGTTCAACGGGCTGTGCAGGGGAAACACAGGGCTGGGGCGGCCCTGCTCCCCCATCTCCCCAGCCCAAGGAGGGGCAGGTGGCCCTGGGTTCCTCAGAGTATGAACTGACAATACCTGGTACCGCCCGGCAAAAGAGGGCTGTGGTTTTGAGTGATGAAGGCTGTTCCAACTTTGCTTTGAAAGTTTCTGGCTAAATCGTGTGCTTGCACAGCATCGTTTTCCTGAAATGCAACACACCCAGTCCACCCTGACAGAACAGAACAGTTTAGTCACTCTCCAGGGCAAAACGCTGCACATTAGTGAGAGCACTGAGGTGCAGCTTGGAAGGACACTGTCACCCACAGCAGGTCAGGGCAGGATTCCCATGCCTACAATGAATTTGGACATTAGAATTGCAACACTTGCTCCCTTAGATGGCATCTTAGAGTATTTGGGGCAATTTAATGAACTATTCGACTCCAGAGTTTATGTGGGCTGTGAGCAGCATTGACTGCACACAAATGCTCTCCTCAGGGCCTGCAGGAAGAAGTCCCTTCCCTCCCAAGGAAGTCTGGCTTTAGAAATACAGGTGTAGGTACAGTCCTAGGGGTTATTCTGTCTATTTAACAGGACTAACGAGGTGTCTGACCCTCCTGAATTTAGGCTTTGTAGAAAGATTTTCTTCATTATTCATCATGTTTTAATTCCTCATCTCAAATGTAAAGATACTTGGTTAAATAGAGTGAACAAAGCATAAAATTGTAAGAAAGGAAAAAAACCCTCCTATTATTTACATTGTACCTTCTGTTCCCAAACCTCTCAAAGCCATTACAAACTGAGATCCTCAGTGACAGGACTAAAAGATGAGAGACAAGAAATGCAGTCTCTTGTGTGATTTTTAACATGTGGGATTAAAACACTTAAGTACCTTTGAAGAAGTTTGTCTTACTACATATTTGCTACCTTAACCTAAATTCATGACACATTAAAAAACATTTTCCCACTTCTAGATGAGTACAAAACCAAGGCAGCAGAAGATAGATTAATGGATTCACTCCAGAGCATACATAGCCCATTTTCCCAACAGACAAATCTGATTGCACTATGTGCCAAAATGCAACAGCACATCTTGAAATGAGAATAACAGAGTCTAAATTACTGTTGAAAAGTAATTTGAAATTTCAGCAGTCGAATCCCTTGTTCCATATTACAGAATACTATTCCACAAAGATGACTGACAACAAAAAGCTAATAAATTGGCAGGAGAAATCATTAACTATCAGGCAAAGTGAGTTTGAGGTAAACCTAAAATGACATGTTAAGCATCCCACCTGACATAAAATCACCAATAATTATAAAAACCACAAAAAAGCACACAACACTTTTTTAGACTTCAAGCAACAGAAGTCAGTTCTTACTTCACTTACCTGAGGTTTCTCTGCTCTCTCACACTTGCAACCCAAGCACTGCATGACATACACCTGCCAGGTTGGTACTATTTATGACGTCTCTTGTTGTCCTAAAGGAAAGTTGTATCCCAACTGCCAGAAATTATCCACTTAAACAGTTTTTAAAACAAGACATGTTAAAATAAATAGCATTTATTTAGTGCTTCTGAAGAAAGGAAAATGTGTCAAGCTAGCTAAACTCTCAAGCCCCTACAGCCTGATCCTCAGAGGCAGTTTGACTCAGCAAATTTGCAAGAAATCACCTGCACCTTTTTAAAGCTGAAAACATTTGGCAACAACTTGCTTAGAGAGTTTGTTTTCAAAGCCATCAGTTTAAAATGCATAAACTGTTCTACTGTAACCCATTTAACTGGAAAATGGCAAATGCAAAAGCAATGAGGATTTATGAGGCTTTGACAGGGAAGAACATGAAGGAAACCCAACCAAAAGTGATACATTTTTTGTGCACTGTTATCCCATTAAACAGTAATTAAATGCTGTTTAAATAAATGCAAGGTTGTGCTGCTACTGAAAGCTTGATTCTCAACACAAAAGCAGTTACTGCAGACAAGCATGGCTATGGTTACAAAATGAACACAAAAAGTTAATGCAAAAGTCATCTCAAAAAAGTTTATTAGCATGATTAAAAACGTGAAGAATGACAGTAAGAGAAAAAGTAACTTAGCATGGAAGATAATCCATTTCAACAGTTTTATTCAACAAGGCTTGAACTGAATGGATAACTTTATTGCCAGACTTTGCTTGATTTCTTTCACAACAGTTCACACTGTATCAGTTTCACCATTATAAAGACTATTGCTTTTGTTTGGATATGATCCCTGTTGCAGGTAAGTATAAAAAAATATCCCCCATTGCTGCTGGATTGCAGAATGCAATGTTGGTTTAAGAGCTGGTAAAAAAGAAATACTCAGCTGAGGAGTCCATTTAAAAAACAACATTTTTTTTCTCCCCCCCTGCTAATCACACTACAAAGAAATACATTAGTATTTTGGCCTTTAAATTTCTTACATGATATTTATTTAGCATGGCAATCCCAAAATTCCCTCCCTTTAAGTAACCATAAATCAAAACCCTCTTTCAGAGGTTGCTTCTTGGGTTAGATTGTGGAGCTTTACTTCACACAGGCTTACACGGGCTTGAGGACGAAGACAGCATCATCCAGCACGTAGTAGTCATTGTACATGTCACCTTCACAGAGGTAGGGCAGTCTGGTGAAAGCCTCGATGGCAAAACCAGCTTTACTGAAAACTTCTGGCAGGCTGTTCACCTGTTCTTCCCAAGTGTGCCCTTTGATTTCCAAAACTTCTGAGGGCTTTTCCCACTTGCCACCTACTGAGAAAACAGAACAGCTTTGTTTCAGTTATAAAGAAAACTTTGTGTGCTGCATTTTCTTTCAGAAAGCATAATTACACTCTTTATGTTCATTCCACGCCACACAGGAGGTTGCCACACCACTTTTAGACCTGTTGCGAGATCAGTTCAAGTTTATCCCTGCTCTTCAAAAGCAGCTTCTTTAAAGTTATCTTTTGTTACATTTTTAATTAGAAGTGCCAGGACTGGCTAAAAGGTAACTGCCATTAGTGAGGCTGGTGTCCAGCAGACAGGCACAGAGGTAACTACAGTAATCGGAATCAGCAAGCTGAAAATTATGGTTTGCTGTGAAGCTTTCACCATCAGATCACCACTACAAGGAATGGCTACTTTGTGCCTTCAGTGGCCACCTACCAGCTGATCTGCTAATGGCTGCTTAGAGTCATATAAAATTAAGAAGCTGATTAAATAGCACGCTGGAAAATGTCTTGTTATTTGTTATATCCAATGAAATAATCTGAAGGACTACAGGTACAACTCTCAGGAGTCCAAAATTTAACGTTCTTCACTCATTTTCCAAATAATGTCATCCACAACAAACAAAAGCTTTCTGGTTTGGTCTGTACCTTTAACCAGTTTGCTAAATGCAGGAGTAAACACCCTTCTAAACAGGAAGTTCTACATCTTGTGATTACGACAGTTCCTCAAATCCAAACATTTCCCAAGTTCCTCTTCCTTTAAGAAGACTCACTTCCACAGAGATACAAGAAATGGCATCTTTCAACAAATTAAAATATGTGCTAATGCTGGTATTTGACTGGATCCTGTATGGTGCTGGTAAGACTTAAAAAATTTCTTACATTTTTTTATTTAACAGCAGTTAAACAAGACTGAGAATTTTGTGACTATGATTTGCAACACAGCTACAAAATAAAAGCAATGAAAAGTTTTGCTGAAAATCAAGTTAATTTCTGCTATTGTCATTTAACTTCTAACGTACACAACTACTAGCAAATGCTTTTTTCTTCCAAAAGTCTGAAACACTGCTGTAACCTGTGATTTCTGGGTCAAATCCTGCTGCACTACCCTACTGGGAACACTCCAGCAGCAGCCTGGTTTCAGAGCAACTGCGTTTGTTTGGGAGGAGGGCTTGGGAAGTTCAGCAGGCAGCACCTATGTGACCTGAGGCCGTGGAGTTCTGCTCTACGAGGACACCAGAGCCTGTGGATAAGGTGGAAAAGAGAAGGGGATCAGCTGCAGAAGCACAAGCTACTGCCTTTCACCACACAGGGTGCAAGTACACCCACAACTTACAATCTTCAGATTGCTGTAGCTGCTGTGGAATGGACCTGACACAGAATCAGTTTCACTTTATTCCTGTAAAAGTCACAGGCACTGAATCTGATTTGATTTAGTGAGAAAAATGGTGAAGGGACAATGCTAATTTGTGACATAATTGTTCACCATGGTCAGGTTTACAAATTGTGTATCAGCAGTACACTATGAGATTTCAGTTTATTTATCTTCTAGTTTGTTGTTTTTTAGCAAGCAGAAAAGGATGTTATTTAGATACTACCTTTACTCTCACTGCAATAACCTCAATGCCATAGTTTAAATAACTATTTATTTGAATAAAATTAAATATACTAAAACAGAATTCACATAGATTTCAACAAGGACTTTAAACAAATCTTCCAGACTAGTCATATTAAACCACACATTTTAGCTCCTTAATTAGAATGCTCTTCTCTGATTAACCTTCCTGTTTTCTCTGCACACATTTTTAAATGTCAGAACTAACAAGCACTATTATTCTTAGAAACCCAGAATCAATATATGTGATAAAGTGGAAGAATGTCTAGGAACTATTGTGAATTCTAATCAATGTTATGAAGTTGGCTGAATTATAAATGTTTTGATTTATGACATTTCCACTGCCTGCCTTCAGCTTGTCTGGCTTGACTTAGACCAGGAACAGTGGAGGAGAGAGAAAGCCCTGCAGAACTGCTCCACTGAGCAACTGCACTTATGTCACAAAACACCCACCCCCACTGGCCAGTACCCCCAAAACATGCAGGGCTAAATCTCGGGGTAGGAGCTGCACAGCGTATTCTTCTGGTCTTCTCCAGTGCCAAAGGAAACATTCACATTGCTTCAGATCTATCAATCTTCTCTATTTTGTCAAAAAATAGAAAGGCAACCACATTTCCCTGTAGATAAAAAGTGTTAAATGAGCACACGTGCAAGCTGTAGGAACTATCTGAAAAATTCACTGAAAATAACCTTAATTATTTCAAGTTTCAAACACAGTTGATTTCTTCCTTTCCTCCCACCTTTCCTTGAATGAACCAAAAGTAGTTGTTATTCTTTCTTTTTAGACTGTACCTGGCTTTTTAGCTGTCCCTCATATCACCAATTGTTCCTTCCCAACAGGTGTTGCAGGTCACTGCCGAGTCACTGTAACACAGCCCAGGTTTCAGCAAGCTGACTCCTCCATGAACAATGTGTCCCTAACATGCACTTTCTCTGCTTCTGGGTGTCCCTCGTCTCCACCTGAAGTTCTGTGGTTTCGCTTCTTAACTAATTCACATCAAGATTTGTGTACTCCTGGATGCACAGATCATCAGAAGTATAAAGTACATTCATCAGCAAATAACATCTTACTTGAGATAAAAGATCTGACTGTAGATGACAGCGCTGTTTATATCTGTGGAATAGCATTCTCAGACTCAGATTCATCCCTTTCTAAACAAGCAGGAGATGGAACAGTACTAACAGTAACAGGTCAGTTGTTCATTCCTTCTTAATGAAGCATCTTAGAAGAAATAAATTATCTTTTCTAAATACTCTATACTTTCAAGAATGACATTTAAGATGGAAATACCGACAAACCTTTTAGGAGTAGTATGGCTATATTAAGATGTTATTAGTAAAACCAGAGGGATTCCACAAATAAGCATCTCAATCCTTGCTAATTAGGCTGGTCTGTCATATGATGATGACTCTAGAATTATACAAAAGAAAGAAATTTTGCACTTGTGCTGTCTAACCACACTCTACATCCTCTTACATGAAGACTTTTGTGGCTGACAAAAAGGAAGTATCAACAAAAAAATGAGAAGTAGAGAAACCAACATTTAGTAGAAGTATGTGCAAGAGAGTGCAGAGCCCCAGACCTGGGGATTCACTTCTGCCAGCCTGAGAAATATGTTCCAAACCTTTTTATCACTTGCCTTCGAGTTAGGAAAGTGATGAAACTTCAGTAATTACATTTCAGTTTTACATACTAAATCAGAAAAGGAAAAATAACCCAGAAACACTCAGCTGGATTATTACTTTCTTTATATTCCTTCCTTCCTCTAATTCCATTTCTGAACAGAAGTCTATGAGCTTTATTCAGATATACCTTTACAGGAGCAGAAAACTGGATTCCATTCTCTCTCTATCCCTAAGGAAAAGTTTGTAATCAAAACTAACAGGTCTCCATTGCCCTTGCAAACACAGGAAGAAAAGGAAAATCATACCACTAAGGAATTTAGACTGAAATTAATCAGAAGAATTTTGATGGTATATGGCCTTTTCATTCCTCAGAGAAAGGGAGCTGGAATGCAGAGTCTTAAAAAATTATGTGAATCAGAACTGCCCTTTATTCTAACACTCATTTTTGATAAAGGATCAGGGAAGCAGCAGAGCAATGGAAAACTCATCTCCATGATCATCATCTCGTCCTTACTGTTCCTGTACAGCTCTGCTGTGCTCACTTCCTTTGCGGTCTACAAGGTAGGCTCAAAGTGATTCTTCTGGTTTTATTAATTTTTAAATGGATGCAGTTTTAACAATTCCATATGGAGAATAAAAAAAAAATTCTAGATTTCGTAACTATTATGGTTAAATTTTAAAGAGGAGGTTGGTTGAAGTCCTTGTACTGCACATACACATCTGTGAACTCCTGTGTGGCACATACCTGGACTCTCAACAGCAAGCCCATTCTCATTTTTCAGTAAAGTGTCTAAAATAAAAGGTATTCTGAAGTTAAAATTATCCTGAGAGTATAAACTTCCAGTAAAAGAATTTAAATTCACATCAAAGTATTTATGAGCTGCAGTAAAGCTACTGCAGCCTGACTTCACTTGTCTACTGATTCTCTTCATACACATACAGAACAGAAACCTTGGTAAAATTTAAAAATATCAGAGACTTGGAAGAAGTTTTATGCTTACAGAAACAAACCCATTAAAATGCACATGGTTAAAAGTTATGTGATTACTGCTGGTTTTTTTTAAATCTAGAACAAAATTTTTGTTTAGATAAAACCAAACAGAGCTACAAAAGGAATCTTTACATGATAATGAGACCTTGACAAGAGAATTAGGACTTCACAGTCCTTTCTGTGCTCACAGCAAAAACACTTGCAGTATCTACTACCAGAAGCTGAAAAAGGCTTCATACATGTGAAAACCTCTCTGATTTTTCCAATGGTATAAGCTGATGTAGTGAAACACCTACAAACTGACACTGCAAAAAGGCAACAATTTTAACTACTCTAATTTCTCATCGTATATTTTAATTGCTTTTTCATTTATTTCCTCTCCCTCCAGTTAAAGCCAAAGTTGCTAAAGAAAAGTGGGAAAGACCAAACAACAGAGAACTCTGTATGTTACCATGTTACTTGCTTTGTCTGTAATTCAGAGCTTCTTCTTGTCTTTTTAAAGTATATTTACCATCAATTTTGTGATTAATTGATGACTCAATTAAGGAGACATGCTGAGCTGCTAAGGCTTTACTTTAGATTTGTACAAAACTACTTATCAATTTATATTTAACTAATTTTAACAAATCAGGTAATTTAACACATTGGATGCATGGTAAAGTTAATCTCTGTAAAGGCTATCTTTAACACACTGATTCCTTTAGGTTTAAAGTAAATTTTGTTCAAACTTCTTACAATAACAGGTTTTGCTATTAATTAATGACCTCCACTGCTACATATCCTTGTATAAAAATCAGAAGCTATGCATTTAAAGATCTGTTAAAGGTACATATGTTAAGTAATGCAATAATAATAATAATGTAATTTAAAACCCTTCTGCTCGTCAATTTACTACTTAGTAAATACCCAAAGACATACCCAGATATAAAATCTAAATTAGGAAAGGTAGAAAAAGATGTTTCCTTCCAACTCATAAATGTTGCACTGAACCAAAGTGTTTTAAATAATTTTCAGAAAATAAGTAGCAGCCGAAAAGTTTTCCAAGCAATTGCTCAAGAACTTCAAAAGCAGAGATATGCTCAACACTACCAACAGCCTGTGAGTATCCATTCCTAAATTTATGGGGAAAAAGAGAAACCAAAAGATTTTAGGAGTTTATTGCACCTATTTCCTTTAAAGTTGCTAGAGATGTAAAAAAAATATTCTGAGTAACAGTCAAAGACATTATAAAGTATTCTAAATGGCCAGATGCATAGAATTACATATATATATTTATGCATGTGTGTATACACACACACACACCCACACCTTTTTAAATATATGTATGTACATTTAAAATTAAAACTGCCATAAATTTGTATTTTGCCAAGAAGAGGTCTGGTTCTGTATTGCTTGGTAAAATTCCTGGAGCTATTAAGAGGTTACATTTGAAAAGTACTGCTTTTTCAGTTCCTCTTGCTCCATTAACCCGGAGTAGAGGACAAAAACATAATGAAACTATTATAAAAGTTCTGTAATATATTTAAAGGTATTTCCCTTCCTCCAGCACACAGAGCCTAAACTAAATATTCAACATCACTGGGTAAAGCCACCCAACTTATTTCATCATTCCAAATTTATGCCATTAAGTCTTATATGACAATAATTTTACATGTGCCATGTAAATTATTTAAAAAACAAACAAACAAACCCAACAAAAGCACATAAAAAAAAACCCAACCAAAACACAAATCCAGACCACACAATCACACATATTTGCAAGTGAAATATTAGAAATCACATATATTTTCAAGTGAAGAAAATCACTTCAAAATCTTGCTTCTGAAATCTTGCTTCTCTTGAGAAACAACGTTAATTTTTTTCCTATTCTGAGCACAGAGATCATTCAGAGATGCCAAGCAGAACCAAATGACACACAGAATGAAGTCAAGCACTTCTCTATAAACATTTTACTTTGTTTATTTCCATACAGCTCCAACAATTTTCTTCTGTAATTATCACTTTAAAGCTTTCAAGTCCCTGCTGATATGACCTGGTCCTTGGTTTGGCCATCAGATATGAAAATATGGGCTATGTTTTCCTGCCCCTGTGCTCCCTGGAGATTAGAAAAAGCCAACAGGATAAGAAACATGTTCTGAAGCCTGTAGATAACACATGGACAAAACCAACTGGATAAGAGGGGAGAAAGGATTTTACTGAAACACAAAAAGGATGGAGTTTGCCTCAAAAAATAAATTCTGCCTTTCTTTAAAAAAAAAAAATCACCTCAGTAATGAAACACTTCTTTCCCTAGGATGATTTGGAAGATGACACTGTTTACCAAAACAGATGAGCATGTGCAGCACTTCAGATTTGTTCAACAGTTCTCCTGTAAGCAAAGGAGCAGGTGAGGAAGTTAAGCTTCTTCAGACTTCCTTTGCTTCAAAGAGAGAGGAGACAGCCTTGCAGGGCAGTGTTCTTTGGGAGTATTTTCCAAACAGATCACCAGAACCAGGTGCATTGTAACTTACATCTGTGTTACATATTCCATTTCCAAGAACTCTGGGAAAAGACTTTATCTTTGTAAGATAACTGCTGATGCTTCATAAAAGTTTCCTTTTTTAGTTTAGATTTAATTCTGTCTTCTTTTTTCTCTTTACATAAACTTTTATGTATTCCTTTTACACGAACTGAGCAATTGTGAAAGTTGTTTGATAATTGACAGCAACATAAAATAAACTTGTTTCATGGGTGAAATTTTGGATTTGCTCATGTTAATGGGAAAGTTATTGATGTAACATTTACAGACCAACAGTAAATAAATCTTGGAACAATTTAAACAGAGTAAAACCTGTGTATTAGACAGGCAAACAGAAAAAACTGACAATATAAACACATGCATTATCGTGGCAAAGCTCATTTGGGATGAGGGCATCTTCCAAACCTATTTAAGAAAGTAATTGTCATTGTGAAAACATTGCTTCTCCAATACTAAATTCACCTGCTAGGCTGACAACCCCCATCTCCCAGTCCCACCATCCCAAATCAGGAATACCTGGAGCACCATGTTTTGCCTTTACAAACCTATTCAACATGGACACAAGCACAAAAAAGAACTACAATATGCAGTACAAGGCAGTATACTTTTTTTTTTAAGCACGTTTTTCAGCAGTTACTATCTAGCTAATCTGCAAAATCAGCACTTTTCCAAGGTATCTGCTGGTATCAGGCATTTTCCCTTCTAAAGGGAACAGCTAAGAACAGCTGCACCTTTCATCACAATTTTAATAAAGCAAGGCTTTGTTTAAAAAATGAAGTGGCATTTCTCACTTCTGGCAAGATGAGAACTGACAACTGAGACAAAGCAAGGATCCATCTTACACACTACTGTGTTTCCAGCTCAATAGTATTTCAGGAGGACAAAATAAACACCTTTGCCTTCTTATCCCTGTCAATCCATTACAAGGATATTAACATGTTCAACAAGGAAATTTCACACTCTCTGGCTCCCAATATTCACTAGTACTCTGAAGTATTGCATGACATTTTTGTTTCAGAGAAACTTACACCAGTCCAGTCATGTATTATCCTATAATGACTTTTTCTGTCTGTATTAGGAAATACAAAGGATTCTTATATGACTCTATGAGACACCTATTAAAAACAAAGTTGTGGTAATACCTGTTCTCAGTGACTGGTCTAATACCTGATGATTCAGGTATTGGGCTCTCTTGCCAAATTTAGACACCTGCAGTAACTGCATTCCTGGATGTTCTGCATGTTGAAATAAAACTGAAAAGCCCCAGAGAGAATTTATGATTGAGCTCCTGTGGACTCTAGGTGTCACTGTCATTCCAGAAACAGTGAGTACAGGTCTGTATTTTAATTCCTCCTCCACCTTGCTTTGTTCTCTTAGAGCAGGTTTTATGTTATTCACATAGACAGCTTCCACCATTACCATCCCATTATACCGCATGTAATCACCCAAATAGCTCATTTTGTTTAAAATAATTTCTCCATTTCTATCTATGGATCTATCACTGGATCAAACACCTTACCTGCCCCAACACTATTCCATTTGTTCTCCCTCTACAAAATTAAAAAGTTTCACAACATGGGTCCAAGCTGGTTTTAATGAGCTGCTACAAGAAGTTACTTGAGCTGTGGAATGCTCTCCTCTTTGAATGTAACAAGTATAATTTTATTATATATAAAACATATGTACATATCTATTTTTAAAACGCATCATCATGTAGAACAGCTGAATGAAAGTAAAGAAATTCTAAAATGGTTTTTGCATCATGAAGACATTCTGGCAGTTAATTGTCTGTTTTTTTAGCCCACAGTTTAACTGATCTTTAGAGGGAAATATGTAACTTTTGTGTGTGCTAACTTGCACTGTTAACAGTTTATATAGGTCCACATTCATAATAGTGGCAAACAGACAAACTGAGCATGTTTTTAAGTTTCAAACATATTAAGGGAGCAAACCTGCCTTCAGCAAAGTGATTCATCTGCCAAGTCACCATCACGAATAAAATTATGACATTGGTTTACAATCATCTTACAATCACATTTCAACTTCCAACAAGTAGGAATGACTGTTCAACAATCACAGAACAGGTTTATTGTCTCCTGGGATTTATAAATTTAATTCTCTATTCTCCTCCCAGCATATGGTAGGAGATTAATGATGAAGGATATAAGCAGGCTTAGAATAGTTTGTTCCTTAACTTATCCCCCCGAGCTGAGCCAGGGAGTTGTACATGGTCTATTATGGACTACCCAAAAAAAATGCAGGAAAGTAGATGTGAGGGCAATAGTGATTGCCAAACACAGTGGCACAGAATTTTGAAGAAACACAAAAAAAGCATTTCTCATTTTTTGGTTCTAGTATGCCAGTGAAAGACTAGAAAGACACTGCTAATATTTGGAATTTTAAAGGATTTCTACAAGGGGAAGCCATATTGTTCCATATTATAGGAACAATAAGTTGTAACCAAATATGTTTGAAATGCTTAACAGATGCCTAAGTCAAACACCAAATCTAATTTAAGGCATTACTTTTCAAAATAGTTACAAAATTACAAGCTCAAATACTGTATTTTAAGTAATTCTTCATCTAATGGCATTATTTCTTATACTTATTTTTTTCCTTTCTCCCATCAAAATACCACCAGCATGTAAAAAGAGAGACCCAGATTCATATATTTGATGCATTTGCGATTGCCAGAACATGATTAGCTCTGCATTTTCTGGGCCTTTCTACAGACAAGTCTTAACACTCAAGGAGAACCAGAACAATGACTGATGAACATCAGCCTCCTGGAATTCAAACCACCTTCAGGGTGCTTTAACCTGAATCCACAATCACAGACATGTAAAAATGTTTCTAGTCTCTTCAGAAGTTTAGTCATAAAGATGGATTAATCTAAAAATCTCTCGTATATTTCCTTAAAATCCAAGTTTGGCACTGAATTTTAATTTTGTATTCCTTTTACTAGTACAATGTAAATTAATACAATATTAATAGTGGTTAGTACTTTGTATTCATAGGGGTCTATATTTTACTTTGAGACCTCATGCTGGAAAGTGGAAGTTATCTTCCAATGAATTTTTAGGTAGGATTCATTTGGAACACTTGAAACGACTTGAACAGCTGTATTCAGTGTTAAGACAACTTGTCATTAGAGACAGCTCAGGTCACCTCTAGGTAAAAGTCCTTAATCAGGGACCAGTTTTTCCAAGTTGCTCCAACATAGCTGAAATGTGGTAACTTGCAAAACAGGATCTGTGACTTCAATATTTGAGCTTTTTGTTGGTGCCAACAATGTATTCTGTGGAGTTAACAAAACAGCTTACATCATGTGGCTTATTTACCTATGATTTCATACTTCTGAACATGCCCTCTACCAGTTATTTGTAAAAACTCAAATACAAACATGTCATTTATTAAACACTTAATTAGATCCTACACTAGTTTACCTGCCTAAACAGCTGCTAATGTGTGCACTTACCATTTTCCACATAGGGGTGAAATGGCAGAACCAGTGCTAGGATGACTCTGCCTCTGGTTGGCTCCAGTACACTTCTAATATCTTTTAATACAGTCAGTGGTTGATCACAGCGATCCAGCAAATTCAAACAGCTGATAACATCATACTGAAACCCTGTGTTTTGCCATTCATTTACACCAAGCACCCTGTGAAAAGAAGAGAAAGAGATACAGTCTTTTAAATAAAAACAAGCTGATTTCAGATAGAACTACTGAAGACAAAAATTCCCTGTGGATGTGTTGGTAGTACAGGTAAGGTCAACCATTTAGAGAAGAGACAGACACAATCCCTTCCGGTCTTTTGGAAAGAAAACTAAATCAATGATCAGCATGGCTACATGTCCAGCCCTATGAACCTTGATAAACATCAGGTAATAAAGGAGACAAAAACCAACACTGGTAAGAGGAATCATCACATGTGTTTATTTCTCTGGTTTTGTACAAGCTAACCTTTTCCGTACAAGCAAACAATAAAGGAACTGACTGAAAATACTGAACATTCATTAAACTACATTACTGTGCTGTAATGTCTGATATAAAGGATGTAGGAGTTATTCAGTCAATACCTGTATTTCTTCTTCTGAAGCTGCCATATCATAGTTTCAGACAATTCAGTGGCATAGATTTCTTCAAAGTGAGGACTCATAACTTTAGTGACTTCTCCATCTCCAGCCCCTAAATCGAGAAGTCTGTGGGATTTCCATTCAGGATTTATTTTAAGCAGTCTTTGAAATTGTTCTGGGGAAAACACAAACATTGAGCCCCTTCCCAGCAGCCTAAAATGTAAAAACAAGAAATGACCAATTTTGTACAAACTTTAACAGGACAGGCAGTGAAGAAATTTAGAATGTGCTTTGGCAGGAACCAGTTGCACACAATAGTAGACAAGGTCACTGCTCAGATAAATTTTAAATCCAGTTCAACTTGCCTTGCACTTGTAAGAGATCAAACATAGAGCCACATGCAGTTACAGTGGTTAAGACTCCAGAAGGAATTTGATTGGGTAAGGGAGAGCTCATGAGGTGCAGCTCAAGAAAATAACTGCAAAAAAAAAGGGGAAGAGAAAGAGTAGGAAAGATAGACTGAACCTTATTTGTCACATCTGCAGATTTGAATCTCTGCCACCTACCTTAAAAAAAAAAACAAAAAAACCCAAGATGAAATAAAAGAGGAAATAAAATGGTTGCAGACACAGAAGTATGCACAATGAATGAGGAATAGGATGTGGAATGCGGAGGGAAGACAGGGAACAGATTTAAAGAAAGCATGGGGGTAACGCTGCTGGAGGGGCAAAAGAGATTTTTTTAGTTCTGTGTTACAATGGCTTTTGCTGCTATCTGCTGATCCTGCATTCAACATGAAAAGCTGTGGAATAGAAAATAGACAACTCATTAAGGAATTGTGTAGAGGTGACAGTTGGATTCCTTATGGATCAAGTCAATGCCATACCCACCCATAACTGTTTGAAGACTACACAGTGACATGTTTCAGCTGTCACAGAATAATTCAATGATGAAACAGAAGAACAGGCAGAGGAAGAAGAACTGGTCAGTAATAGACTGCAGGTAGATAAATACTATTCTTTAAACTCCTGTTGATAGCATGTTAAACTTAAAGACAATGAACAGGAAAAAAAACAAAACAGGAAAAAAGGTAAACAGAGATAAAAAGACTCAAAGAATAAAAAATGTGAAAAGGAGCTGGCCTAGGAAAGACTGACTACTAAAACCCAAAGAAACAAAAAGGACAGAGTATAGAAAGTCATAGAGAA